AGTATATTTATATGATTCTTAAAGAATGATATGTGGTCCTTATGGACATTATTATATGGCACTACGGTGCAATTCTACACGGCACTACGGTGCAATTCTATGTGGCACTTCGGTGCATTTATATGAGCTGTGGTGACAGTATTAGTGCACAACCTTCATAAACTCACATATCTATAGTTCTCACATATGTACATGGGCTAATCAAGAGATATAAACAAATATATGTTAGTGGTATGATAAATGTTATAGAAATGATATGATGTTGTGTGTGTATAGTGTTTGATTGAAAAGGTTAAGCATAAAAGTATGTGATTACATGATAAACTGTTAATGATGAGTTATGTGTATGTATGTATTTACTGTAATTAATCTGATATGATTTTATATGATACGAAGAAAGCATGTAATTTGGTATAATATGATAGAACAGAACATGCATGTATTGATATATGTTATAAAGTGCATTATAAGTTTTTATGCCTCACTAAGTCATAGACTTAACGTGTGATTGTTTCACACGTAGGTTTCGAGAAGAGTAAAGAGTAATGCGGAGCAAGACAAGTCAGTTCTCCTTACCAAATGTCAGATCAGAAAATATATGTACTGTATATAGAGTGTAGTTGGCATGTAGTCTAAAGATATAAATTGTATGAACTCTGATATATTTTGTAAACGTTTTGAATAAGTTAAATGTTATCAAAGTTTTTAAATTACTCACTATTTTATACGAATAAATGTTTGAAAAGTCAATGTGACACTTCGGACTCGTATCCGGGTCGGATACGGGTTGGGGTGTTACAACAGCCCTTTTCAAATCATCCTCCCTCTTAAAATGAACAAAAGCAAAGGTAAAAAATATGTATTTTGTATTTCTTATTTGATTGGGAATAAAAACTCTCATAACAGGACCATGGACTAAGAATATTTCCCTTAGCGTACGACGAGAAACCCTCCTACTCAGATTGTCGATAAACGCTGATCAACCCTCATCGGGAACTAACTTTTCTTTCAAATTTCTCTCTCTACGTTTTTCTCTCTCTCACTCATTGTTAGGTATGCTTACTTATCATTTAGAGAGACCAAACCTTCCAAACAATGTTGTGCCAAGAAGCTAATATATATTTTTTTCTTCCAATAACTTGCTCTATTTACGTCTTTGTATGGGTATCAGAACGGACAATGCCATAAAGAATCACTGGAACAGTTCAGTCAAAAAGAAATTGGACTCTTACATAGAACCAGGTCTTCTAGAACAATTTCAATTTCCGATCCTTACAAATCAAAGTCAGCCTCTTCCTTCATTGTCTTCAACCATGACGAGGAATGTAGATGATAGTGGTGCCAAATGTAGTACAGAAGCAGAAGACATGTCAGAATGCAGCCAAGAACCTACTATGCTCGGCTGCTCGCAGTCTATAAGTGATTCAGCTAATGCCTCTGTAAATGCAAGTGAAATATCTGGTGTGGCAAAGGAAAAGAATTCCCATCCAGTACATAGTTCAGAAGTGTATTGCCCATCTCTGGAGGTCGTCAACATCTCCATTCCAGAAATACCTGTTGAAGCAGGGTACTGTACAAGTGGGGATTACCAGTTTGGTTTACCAGACCTACCAAATGTTTCTTCTACGGAATTGGGGCAAGAATCATCAGGGTTTCCAAATCACTGAGTAGATACTATCATACTAGTGAATGCTGTGAAGTGATGAATGTTGCATTTCCAACTTCTGTAGGATTAAATGCACCTACATCTCTCATAAATACGCTTACAACATCTGACAAGCAAGAAAATATGTTGACAATGGATGAAGAATGTTCTAGGGTCCTATTCTCAGATGCAGTAAACGATGGATGCTTTGTCACAGAAGATTTTACACAAGGATATAACATGGTTGAATTTGGTAGCTGCACACATGCATCGCTTTCTCAGGCTTCAGACATCCAAAAATCTGAAAATGGAAGAACTCCTGCCTCACAATCTACTTGTCCTTCAAGTTCTAAAGTGTTACCAACCTCATGCTGTCAATCTTTTGTCTCTCCTTCAGTTCTCTTGGTTGAGAATGGTACAGTTTTATATGGCAGAAAGCCCGTTCAGTTAAATGGTCAGCCTTTTGGAACTCAAGAGCAAGAACTTCCGAATGTGCATGATGGCTTTGTCTATACCAGTGATGATTATACAGAAATGCAAGAGCAATCAAACCTCGACAAGAATTCTCTGAAATTGGTTCCTGTGAATACTTTTGGTTCAGAATCAAATGCAATACAAACTTGTCCTATTGTGGATGATAAGCCAAACTCACCTGAAGAACAGGATGATGGAGGTCTATGTTATGAGCCTCCTCGATTTCCAAGCTTGGATATTCCATTTTTCAGCTGTGATCTTATATCAAGTGTCAGTGATGATAAGATACAAGAGTATAGTCCCTTTGGTATTCGCCAGCTAATGATGTCATCTATGAACTGCATCTCTCCATTTAGGTTGCCAGATTCACCATTATGGGATGATAGTCCTGATGCTGTGCTGAAAAGTGTTGCCAAAACTATCACAGGTACACCCTCCATATTGAAGAAACGCCACCGTGACATATTGTCACCTTTATCAGAAAGAAAATGTGACAAAAAGCTGGAAATCGACATGGCGTCCAATTTGACCAAAGAATTCTCTCAAATGGATGTTATGTTTGATGAGTGTGGGACTGGGAATGCATCTCAGGAGTCACCTTCTGAATGAATGATCAACTCTGGTGTCTCCGTTGAAGACAAAGAAAACATGAACCCAACATTTGATCAGGAACAAAGTGATGGGGGAGATCACACTGGATCTTTAGATAATGGAGCTCATAAGAAAGATTCTGGTGGAATTAATTACCGAGGAAACATAAAAAAATAAGTCTGCGATATTGATACCAACTACAAAATTGACGCTGATGGATCTGACAAAATTGCAAGTTTTTTCTTCTTTCTGATGGCTCTAGTTTCTTTACTGATAATCTGAACTAATGTCGGAATATCAAGGGATCTGGAGCTATACACTAATAGTTATTGTTTGTATAACTCATATGATATTGATAATTCTATGTACCCTTGAGGTCTTAACTCTTCTTTCTTTATTGCTGTTATATTCCCTTTTGTGCTAATGTTATTGATTTACATTTTACCAACTTTTTTCCTCTACTTTTTGCAGGCCCAACGGCCTTCGGCAGTTCTTGTTGAGCATAATTTAAATGATCTGCTATTCTTATCTCCTTATCATGACAATCTTAAAGGAAACAGAGCATTGTCTTCGGGCTCTGGAACTCCAAGAAAACAGTATCATAAAAGCTCTGGAGCTATATCAAATCAGGGTTTTGCTTCCGAATGCTCGTCGGGAAATGCATGCATAGTTGTAAGCTATCCTACTCCAAAAATAAAGAGAGGTGATGCCAATCCAATTGCTGTTACTGCAGTATCAGCAACCCTGGAGAATTCTGCTGAAAATGCAGGGAACGCTGCTGCTGATGATATTGAAAATTGCAATATGTAAGGTTCCACAGCTCCAGAATGTCATTATTAATACTTCAAATGATATGATAAATCGATCACTCATCGGTTTCTTGCTTGAAATGGATTGCCAGGTTCGGAAAAACTCCACTGAAAATAAGTATGGAATCCCCATCAGCATGGAAGTCTCCTTGGTTTATCAACTCCTTTGTTCCTGGACCAAGGATTGACACTGAAATAACAATTGAGGTATAAAAACTTCAGGTATGTTTTAAAAGTTATATATCTTGTTTTACAATTCCTGATAATCGGAATCAACGGTCTCGTTCCAGGACATCAGATATCTAACGAGCCCTCCAAGTAGAAGCTATGGCGCCATCAGGTTGATGAAGCAGTTAAGTGAACATACCACATCAACTTATGCTGATGCCGTGGAAGCTTTAGGTAACGAAACTCCGGAATCAATTGTAAAGGGAAGATGCTCCCACAATCCTAACATGAACAAAGAAAAACATCAAATGGAGACTGAGCTGCATTCGGCTTCGAATATCTTGGTATTACTGAAAAGCCATAACCATGCTTAATATTCTCTTCTTTGTTGCAATTAGTTGAGACTAATAGTTTGCGATTAATTGCAGCCGGAGCGCCTCATCCTTGATTTTAGTGAATGTGAATCAGCAGGAAAGGGAACTGAAAATTTAAAGTCCTCAACAGCCATGAGTTTCTCAAGTCTCTCTTCCTATCTTCTGAAAGGTTACAGGTAATGGTTTATCAAGGCTAAAAGGCCTTCCTTGTTTGTAGTTTATATAAATATATGCATGGCATCTTTTTTATTTCTTTTTTTTTCAAGTTCTTCAATTAGTTGTCGAAAGAGAACGGATATAATTAAATTGATAGAAATAAATTGTTGAAGTGCACAAAAATTCTCTAGCTCTCATATGATCATAGATCAGGTTAAGTTGGGTCAATTTTTTGTTCACCTGAATTCAACCCAATTATTATATCCTTTCACCCGCACTCGAGTTGATCTGGATTTAAAGAGATTTTATGCTGTCTAAAATTTGACTTCATTTGTGAGGTAAAAACCCATATTGTGTGTGTGTATATATATATATATATATTCATATTTATTAGATAAAATATTTATTAGATAAAATAGGAACTTAACTAAAAAAATATAGATAATTTTATTACAATTATCCCTAAATATATAAGAATTATACTAATTTCTCAAGTTGAGTTTTTTCATCCTATACTAATCTAATCCAAATTTGAAACAAATGATCCTACAAAATCAGGTCAGGTCAGGTCTGAACCTCAAATGTTCATTCCTAATGTGAAGTAAATCAGGGATCTATTCAACCAGTGTTAGACTTTCCATTAAATACTCATGTTTGACACTTGAATATGAGAATATGATCTCCAAACATCCTTCATAGAAAAATATAACCATACCCCTGTTAGATACTTACCCTTGTCCGACACTTTCATCTGAGTTCAAGTATTTGAGTCCGGATAACATATGATCCAACCAATAAAATACAAGCAATTGGAACTGAACATTATTTCTGCCTTTCCAGTGTTTAAGGGCTACAGATAATTTTGAATAATAACAAGTTAAAAAACAATTACATTGATGTGATTCCCACTAACGTTTATTGATTATGAACTGTGTTCTGCTGTGCCCAATTTCTATGACATACGAGTAACGGCAGCATGAATTGCATCAGCCAGATGAGGAACTGTCTTAGAGCTCAGACCTGCCATGCTAATCCTCCTGTACACAAATGTCAAAAAAGAAATTTACTTGAGAGATACTTGGTTTAGGGACTTTAGCTATGCTACAAGGGCACATTTCCGCACTAGATAAGAGGTATTCGATACCCGTATCAGATAAATACTTTTATCTTACACTCACCCCTTAATCTAGAAAACATTGGATGTCAGTAATCGACTTACCCATCGGAGGTCATGTAGATGTGGTATTCTCTGGTCATAAATTCTACTTGCTTTGAATTTAGTCCGGTGAAGGTAAACATTCCAATTTGTTTGGTGATATGACTCCAGTCATCGGGTGTTCCTGCCGTATGGAAAAGATGGGGGAAAAAAGGTGAGACAGCAACATATACATAGGATGAACCATTGTTGTGAAAAGAATATTAAGGACTTTGAGATGACCTCTTGTGCGCAAAGCGTCGAAAAGTTGTTTGCGCATGCTTACGATACGATCAGCCATCGCCTTCAACTCGATGGTCCATTCATGGAACATGTTGCTGTTGGTTAAAAGAAATATGAAAAACCATTAAAGACATCCGTTTATGGGTATACATAACAATAGCCGGCAACCGATTCCTTAAAGTTCAATGCATACACTGATGCATACAGGGTAAGATGGAGTTCTTGCAAACCAAATGATACAGGCAACAGCGGTGTAGAGAATCATCGGTGAAGGGTGCCGTACCTGTCCTTCAGGATGGTCGCCACAATGGACGCACCATGAATTGGTGGATTCGAAAACATTGGTCGAATAACGAGCTTCAACTGGCTCTCGACCCTGCTTGCTACGGCAGCTGTCTTGCAAACCTATTGACAATGAAATTTGTGACAGAAGAATCAGAATACATTCTTCAGGTCCACAAATAACAAGGCATCGACAGATTAAAAGATTGTGCTCAAGATCATTCTAAGCATCAATCCTAGAGTCTTACAACACTCAGTGCACCAACACGTTCCCCATAGAGGCCCATGTTCTTCGCGTAACTCTGAGCTACAAAGCATTCACCACCGTCAGCGACAAACATCCGTACAGACTGTGCATCTTGATCCAGACTTCCGCTTGCAAAACCCTACAATAACAAGTATCAATGCTATCCTCTTAGGAATGATAATAATAGTACCATCGAATAATTATCTTAATTTTCTCGGTATGCAAAAGTAAATACCCAATGTTTCATTTGGTTTCTACTTACCTGATAAGCACTGTCAAAGAAAGGTAACAATGCCTTTGATCTCATCAACTGCCTTATTTGCTCCCATTGCTGAAGGGTGGGATCAACACCAGTGGGATTATGAGCGCAAGCATGAAGAAGCACAATCGATCCAGAAGGGGCAGAACTAAGGTCCTCCAATAACCCTGTTAACCAGAAGGAAATGAATATTGTAAAACCGATAAATTAACAGAGTAAAACTAAATCATATTAGTCCTCATTTGAAACCAAAAGCAAGCATGAACATCGATCACAACTTCAACAATAACGATAGGAAGTAAACAACTTCATAGATCTTGTTGATGATAAATGATAAAAAAAGCCAAATATAAGATTGAAATATGGAATTGTTATATACACAAAACACACATTCAAAGAAGTTCTCTCATACCCTTGAAATTCAATCCGCGTGTGGTCGGATCATAATAACGATATGTTTTCACAGATAATCCTGCCAAAGTAAATATCTTGGGGTGATTTCCCCATGTTGGTTGTGGAATGTATATGGTTTTCTGCAAAAACAAAACACCAAAATCACAGTAAAAAATGTAAGTGGATTACTACCATGAAATTGACCAAATATTAATACAAACAATACGATAAGGAAACTAAAACAAGAATTTTACTTGATGATAATGCCTAGCCATAAATTCAGCTCCAACTCTCAATGAACCCGTCCCGGATAAACATTGAACTGTGGTAACTCGATTCTCTTGAATTGTAGGGCTACATTTAAAACCCAAAAAAAGAAAGAAATTATATAATGAAGCAAAATGGATTAGAAGATTAGTCGCATAATATCCAAATTACTTGGTCACTAGATCATATAACAATGTTTAACAATAAAAAAATATTAGCAAACCTGTCAGCACCCAAAATGAGTTTAGCACTTAGTTTATTAAAATCTGCTATTCCAACAATGGGAAGATATTCCTTAACACGTGATCTGTCGTTCAACAACATTTGCTCTGCTTTTCTTACTACATTAAGAACAAGAGGCTTCCCTTCCTGTTAGCAAAATTAAAATTTTCAACTAAATGATAAAATCCAACGTGTACAGAAATGTTTAATATGCCCGCGGTCCCTGTACTCTTCGAACTTTTAAAATTTAGTCCTTAAAAAATTGAAATCTAATGGATAACATTATTAATCTACTTCGGTTAAACATAAATATTCAAAGTCCTGGTTTAAAATAAGGAATCCAAAATGATAACAAATATTCAAATCGAATGCAAGTTCGTTCATAACAAATTAAAAATTAGAGTAAATTCATTAAATTAGAAGAGTTCAGCAATTAGACTCGAGTAAAAATATTACCTCGGTTCGATAAGCACCAACTCCTAAATTCAACTTAACGGGGCTCGGATCTTTGTTGTATGCCACAGTTACCTAATAAACCAACGGTATTATGGATTAGCTAATCGTAAAATCTTAATCACTCGAGATTCAAAGAACAAGAATATAAAAAAGACAGGAGAGATTGAATTTAGTTAGCATACTCCGAGGATGGGATCTTCAGGGGCGCTAACGACGTGAGAGAAAACAGAGTCTCCATGATAACCGGAGGTGGGAGAAAATGCTATGGCGGTTCGAGACTCGATCGATGCGGTTGCAAGGTGCCGGATCAGAGCGTTTAACCGCCGATCGGCCGCCGAAGACGGTGACGTAAATTCGTGGCGCATGTTAGCTTGTCGGTACGTTTGAATGATTAACTTACGCTTTCGTTTTCTCTTTGCTTCACGGCAGATTTTGCTTTTGCTTGCTGAGAATTGACTGTTCGTTTTGTGTTTATATCAATGAAAAGAAGAAGAAAGAAAACAAAAGGCTTACGCGACGAGTGACGGTTATCTGCTTACCATTTCTCCATTAATTGGGGACCACCTTTTTTTTTCTCTATTATTATTTTTTCATGGTTTTGAAACTTTATTTAATAAACTTTTAAACTCATTAATCTATCTCGGCATAAAAAATATTATTTTTCTTAATATTTTAAATTTAAACAGTTATATTTATAAGATAAAATTATAAACATATATTATTTTATAATTATTTTAGTTAATTAAAAATATTAATAAATACTTTTTACATATAATAACATTTGTATTTAATTTCATAATATTTAAAAATATTATTTAAACTAAAATTCAATTGATTATTATAAGTATTTAATTATAAATATGTATGAGCAAATTCACCTATAAAAAACATCAATGAAAGAATTTAAAGAATATCTCAATGTTGATATATTGTTATTAGGTAATCCGCGATCAGAAATTGAGTAGTTTAATAAATAATTTTAATTTCCTGTCATATATTTTTAATTAATTGTTTAAATATAAAATAAGATTCAGTTGGATAGAGAGAAAAGCCACGTGGCGGATAGGATTATATCTCGAAGATGATGAATTATAAATGAAGTTTGCGTTTGGCACGTTTGTCAAGGTGGAGCTATGTTCAACTCTTTCCGGATGTTCACCAATTCCTAGGCTCATTCACATGTGGAATTAAATATTTTATCTTTTATTTTAGAGTTAATTATATCATATTCTTAAACTATTGTTTTCTTTTTAAATTAATCTCTAATTTTTAAAATGTTTTATCTAACTGCCTAAACTATTGGTTTGTATCAATTATATCCCCTCCACTAAAAAAACATAAATAAAAGTGTTAAATTCCACGTAATCAATTTTGTATTTTAAAAGCATTTATATAGGTAAATAATACTTTTAGTCTCTAAAATTATATTTTATTATCACTTCATATATAGAAAAATTCAATTTGTTCAATTTAAACCCGAACTCTCCAACCGTGAAGCAATTTATCTCGTTCAAAAATTTTCGTTGAAAGAAGCTACATAACACTCTTAGAACATGCTACTTAATACAAAATACGTATTAAATTAGAATTTTTTTCACAAAAGATCTTAAAAAACAAATTTATGATTAAAAAAAGAGAGTTTTCGTATATTTATTTTTTGGATTTTAATTTTTTTCTAATTTAATATATATTTTTGTTCCACATGGCATATTAAGGTGCATGGAGAATAAAAGAACCAAATGCGGCCAATTGATGAACTTTAGGCTAAAATCCACGACTAACTGCATCATGTATTGCATCTGCAAGATATGGAACTGCCTTTGAACTTAGGCCCCCAAAGCTAATCCTCCTGTAACAAAGCTCATCATTTACGATGGAACTGATTCACGAAGGTTATAGCGTGGATGGTAAGGAAGTAGATCGAGATTTTTTACCCATCAGATGACATGTAGACATGGTGTTCTTCAGTCAGAAAGTCAATTTGATCCTCATTCAATCCGGTGAACGTATACATGCCGACCTGCTTTATAATATGGCTCCAGTCACCCGGAGTTCCTGCCCAAAAAAAGAACAAGATATATGCTAAAGTTTAGGTTGAATCAGCAATGAAGTTTTGAGATGGATTTGTAAACTACATAAAGGGAATACCTCTTTTGCATAAAGCATCGTAGAGTTGGTGGCGTACTCGGAAAAATCGATCACTCATGGCCTTCAATTCGGTAGTCCATTCTTTGTACAACTCCCTACAATAGGTAAAGAATTAACGAGATCGAAAAGTTCCGAAACACCGGATAAATTGAAGATGACTATCCATCATAGTTTCTAATAATCACAACAATTGTTCATATTGCTACCAGAAAAAGAATCCAATGTACTACCTATCCTTCAGGATGGCAGTAACAATGGCTGCACCATGAATGGGCGGGTTAGAATAAAAGGGTCCTATGATCAGTCTGAGCTGACTCTCGACCCGCCTTGCCACATCAGCTGTTTTGCATACCTAAACATGGAGACAGATGTGACCATGTGCCTGGACCGTGGTGAAACATGGAGGTAGATGTTAACTATTAGGAGTTCTGTCGAAGTATCTTACAATGCTAAGCGACCCGATGCGTTCCCCGTAGAGTCCCATGTTTTTCGAATATGACTGAGCCACAAGGCATTCGCCACCATCACAAGCAAACATGCGAATGGACTGTGCATCGGCATCTAGATTTCCACTTACCAGACCCTTCAGGCACGGTCCATCGATCACCAAACGAGGTTCAAGTAGAAAACCTAAAGCCATTTATATTTAATACCTTCTTACCTGATAAGCACAGTCAAAGAAAGGGAATAAGCCTCTCAGTCTAACTAACCGCCTGATCTGTTCCCACTGTTCACAAGTTGGATCAACACCGGTAGGATTATGACCACTTGCGTGGAAAAGCACGATGGCTCCGGTTAAGGCCGAGCCAAGGTCTTCCATAAGGCCTATCAACACCAAGATGAATTATCTAAATCCATAAGAACAATGAAGAAAGTAATCAGGACCCAAATTCACACACATAATAAGCTTCGACGAATAGAAGATGTTCGAAATGAAGTAGACCTTGAAAATCTAGTCCATGTGTTTTTAGGTCATAATAACGGTAAGTCTTCAAAGTTAGCCCTGCCGCAGATAACAGATTTGGATGATTTCCATATGTTGGTTCAGGCAGGTAAACAACTTGCTGCACAAGAAGGTGGAACAGTGAGGTTAAACAGTCCGATAATAATGCATAAACAAATATGACATTATATCATTTACTTGGGGGTAATGTTTTGCTAAAAGTTCAGCTCCAAGCCTCAGTGAGCCACAACCAGACACACATTGAACGGTAGTCACTCTACTTTCCTGGATGGCAGAGCTTTTCCGAACAACGATATAAGCAACCAACAACAGGAAAACAACTTCAGCTAAAATCAGAATTCAAAGAAACTGATAATTGTTCTAGTGAACTTTAAACCAGGCTAGTATTCCTTTACCTGCCAGAGCTAAATATTAGCTCGGCACTTAATTTATTAAATTCTGGCATTCCTGTTATAGGAAGATACTCCTTATCAGCTGACCTAAACATCAGATAAATTATTCAGTCACGAGTCTCGACTTGAACAAATCTATGACGGAAAAAATAAGAGTAAAATACTTACAGATCATTAGCTAGAGTCCGCTCCACTCGTCTAACGACGTTTAACGTATGACATTTTCCATCCTGTCATACAACAAACAAATCCGATCCAGAAAATTATTTCCACGAAAACGAGCAACGCGATATATGGAAATGCTCATGAAATTTACTTTCTACTAACATTAATCCATGATTATAGCAGTTTCCCACCTGTCATCAACAGCCTAATACAACTGAATCCTAAGGAAGGATGTTTATTTGACAAAACAAGATACCTGAAAGATCCAACCTTGCAACCATATCATGGCTTCATCTTACCGGTAAGAAGCAGGTGATAACGAGCCTACCGATTGGAATGCAAAGTCGGTAACACACGATAAAAAAACACATTTTCTGGAAGCATGCCAAAATCTTGAAATGCACAGATAAGTAATAGCAACTCGATATAATAAGTAACTATCTGGAAGTATACTTGCAGTGGTCAATGTGGGTGAGAAACATCATTAAATTCGCACAAGTAACAAAAGCTCACCTCTGTTCGATAAACACCAATACCCAAATGCAGCTTATTGGGGCAAGGGTCCTTGTTGTAAGCTACTGTTGTCTTTTGTCATACAAGATAAAAGAATTAAAAGCGAAAGGAACATCTTAATCCTTGAAGGAACAAAGAAAGGGAAGCAAATAAAAGGAAGAAGTTGAAATATACAATATTAACAACTAATTTATCAAAATATTCGTAGTTAGAGATCTTGACTTGAATTCTGTTTGATCCAGTCTGAAAATATCACTATGCGATAAGTTTGGTGAAAAATTAGTTTGAGAGAAAAAAATAGGGTCTGTAATGGATGCACCAGGTCACTCAACCAGTTGTGTTCCTACACATTTATCTATCTATATAGATAGATAGTTTCATGTTTTCGTAGTTTGTTACTTATACAATTTTCGACTATAATAAATTTCCTCTGCCGATCATGATCATGGTTTTTCATGTCAACAATTTCACATGAAATCTTGTGTGTTTATTGTTAGAAATTTGCAAATGGAAGAATAGCTAAAGCGATATCAAAGTAAAATAAAATATCGCACTAGACAAGATTTAATGCAGTTCAACCTTGTCTATTTATACGAGAGAAACAAATAATGCACTGTAAAAAATCGAGATATATATATATATATGTATGTATGTATGTCAAAACTCAATGTATCCCAAATGACTCTCCAAGTAATCTTCAATCAGTATAATTTTATAATTTTAAAAAAATCCAACTCAATTTCTAAATAGAATTCAAATCAATATCTAACATTATTATGTTTTTCTTTTGATTTATGATTTATTACCATTATTTTTCTCAATTCCATAACACTTGAAGAATCGATTTCGACATAAATTCATGAAAATAGATAATCACACAGAGATTAAGCAATAGTCAAAAGCCCAGATGAAGTATTGAAACGATCGTGAACCATGTTAGAATTATCAGTTGAAAGCAGGGGAAAGTACTCAAAGGCAATGATAGAATTCAAACTTGCTTGAAGAACAGGGGACCATCACATTGAGTAAAACAATTAGTAAGAAATTGCAAGAATGTATTGAAAGTTTATAAAGAGGCAATACCGCGTAGATTGGAGGATCGGGAGCGGAGGGAACGTTCTGAAACAGAGAATCTCCATTTCTGGTCGGGTCCATGAGCTTGAGATGCAGTGAAGAGGTGAAGTGAAGATAAGCTGTCGCAAGAAGTGGCTCGATCAACCGTCAACTTCTTTCATTTGGGATTTTTTTTAATATGATAGATTACATTCATGACCACTTAATTATAGACTAATTCTATTTTAACCACTGATGTTGTAAAATTTACTATAAAACAGTTGGTGATTTGATTGACACTTAAGTAATTATATGTTTTGATTGATAAAATTAAAAGACTATTGATCAAAATATGTTCTATCTATAATTAAGTGGTCATGGATGTAGTTTACTCAAAACTCCCTTTAAAATTAGGGTAAAGCACATCAAAAGTAAGTGAACTATGGTCAAACGATCATCATATTTTAAAAATTATAAAATGATCATTGAATTTATTAAATCATTATAAAATAATCATTACGATGTTACAGTAAATTGTAAATTTTTGATAAATTTAATAGTCATTTTATAATATTTCGATAAAATTTAGTGATCAATTTATAGTTGTTTAAAAATTTTAATAATTATTTTATAATTTTTAGATGTTTAATAACTATAACAATCATTTGAGCATAATTTAATGACATATGAAGTAATTTATCTTAAAAATATTAGTATTTTTTATAAACATAAGGTGAATACGAATTAATATATGTTCAAAGACTTTTAACCCTTTGATAATAAATATTTATATTTTTATATATACGGTGCTTGAATCTTATATTTTAAAAAATAATAATAATGTCTTAACCACTAAACAGTTGCTTGCACTAAAAAAATATTATTTAGACCCGAAATTTAGGCGACGAAAAAAAAAGCAAGCAAGAATCTACTCAGGCCTTCATCACGCCGTAGTTCTGATTTGTGACCTAATTTGCCTAACCTTTTTCATGTTATAATAATAATAATAAAAAGATTCCAGTGGCGTCCAATTAATCGATCAATTAATCTAAATTAAATAGGGTAAATTATATGTTTAGTACACAAATTATTACTTTTGTTTTTCTTTTGATATTCAAATTTTATTTTGTTTCAATATCATATCTAACGTTTAATTTAGGTTTTACTTTGGAACTCTGCTGTTAAAAATTAACATAACTATTGATGTGACATTTTAAAAAATCAATGATGATATGGCATTACCTTATGATGAAACGTAAATATCGCCGTTAAATTTTTAACGATGAGATACCAAAATAAAACTTAAACTAAACGTTCGGTATGATTTTGAAACGAAATAAAATCTAGGTACCAAAATATAACAAAAATAATAGTTTAAGTATTAAACGTGTAGTTTACCTAATTAAATATTGTAGATAGAGATGAGAATAGATCAAATTAGATCATACTCATCTCGAATTTTATATACTCCATGAGTCACTCAATTTGATAAGAATTTAGAAAAGTTTCATCTAATTTGAAACTAAATTAAGATTATTTCATACACTTTTAACATTTTTACGATTAATATTTTCTAATTCAATTATTAAATTTTATATCCTATTTGCGTAAATCATGAATATTAGTTTTTTAGTAAATTAAAAGTATTTAGTTTATGAGAAAAATATTCAACCATCATATATATATTGATAAATATATATGAATTTAGATTAATATAATAGTGTTTTTTTTTTTAAAAATGCAACTCTTGTTATAAATCTCTTCATAACTCAATTAAACAATAGTTCGATCGCATCAACAGAAAGAAAAAAAAAGTATCAAGAGATTTATTGATAATTATCAATATTGACTCAAAATTTTATATACACGAGACGTTTTTTTCGAAAAAATCACAAGTGACCGGTATATTTATCGATTTAACACCGGTTATATTATACTTCTCGATCTAACACCCGTAACAGTAAAGCGCGCTCCCTGCCCCGCGTTATATGCTGATTTGGCGTGTGAGGTATAGCGCGCCCCCTGTACCGCACTATACGCTGACATGACTTACACGTGGGTATAGCGCGCCCCCTGATCCGCGCTATACGCCACGTTTATCTGACACGTGGGGTATAGCGCGGTACAAGAGACTCGCTATACCTTTAATTACCCCCAATCCTCCCTATAAATACCACATCCTCTATTACTTTCATCACACCATATTCTCTCAAATACTCTCAAATACTCTCTTTATTTAAGGTATATTTTATAATATTTTTAATATTATGTATTTAATTTATTTAAGCATTTTACTTTATTTAATATTTTACTAATATAATTTTTTTACAAATATATAATGGAAGGCGGTATACTTCACTTGGATGGAAATCATATATCTCGACACTTTGCTGATATGATAACATTTTAACGTTTTAATTTAATTTAAATTATTTGTAATAATTTGTTGATTTATTTAATGTATGATTAAGAATTAATTTGTGTAATTATTTAATTTTAGGAGAAGGACCATGTATTAGATCCTTTTATTAGGAATATTAAGTTAGTGATACCTAGCCGTGTCTTGCCGTATTTAGTAGAGGCTGGATTTGGTTATATAGGTAGATATCAGGGTCACTGTAAGATAGAACCAGACCCTATTTATGCCTTAGTAAAGCGGTGGAGGTCGGAGACCCACACATTCCATCTTCCGTGCGAAGAGTGCACGATTACACTTGAGGATGATGCTATACACCTAGGGCTTCCAGTGGATGGATATGTGATATCAGGGATCTCGCAGGGTTCATGGACTACTTTGTGCCGGGATAATCTAGGACGTGTCCCGGAAAGTTTTATCGGAGGTAGGATATCGTTAAATTGGTTAGATGCCAATTTTCGAGAGTTGAGCGCAGACGCCTCTGAGGATGAAGTTAAGATGTATGCACGGGCATGCATACTGCAGTTGATATGAGGGTTGTTGATGCCGGACAAATCATGCAACCTAGTTCACTGTATGTGGTTGTGACATCTTAGCGACTTTCGTCTGGCCGGATCATTCAATTGGGGCTCAACAGTTTTGGCTTTGCTGTATATGGAGATGTTTGGAGCCACTGACTACAGGCGTAATGCTATCGGCGGATGTCTTCTGCTGCTGCAGTCTTGGGCATGGTATCGATTGCCCTTTTTATGTCCCGTTGTGAAGAACCCATTCGTATTTCCACTACTTCTAAGGTAATTATAAAACTGATTTTATATATTAATAATTTTATACAGCGTATAATAATTTTTTTTCCTTGAATAGGTGGTATACTGATAGGAAAAATCATCAGAAGCTACCTGATGATTTAGAAAAAATTAAGGTGCTAATCGATCAGAAGGCTGACACACATGTATGAATTTTAATGTTTAAAAATCGATTTTAGATTATAGTTATATAATTATATTATTATTTTGATAAAAAAATTATATAATATTTATTTTAGTTTGAATGTGTGTCATATTGTACTGATGATGTGAGGGCGGTGATCCCACCTGAGTGTAGGGACCCATCAGATGTTTGGATGGCGATGGTCCCTCTGATCTATTATGCGACCGTCGAGTGGTACTCTACTGATCGTGTGCTCTGGCAGTTTGGTTGTTTTCAACCAATTCCGGAAGCACCTCGCAATATGGACGAGTTGCATAGCTTAGATAGACGCGGCAAGACAGATACAACTGCCAACAATAAAACTTGCTTGTATTTCCTATACAAGAAAGTCTCGTCGATCTGGACCACATGCTTGCAGTATTTGGCAGCATTAACGCACTGTGGGTAACTCCAAAAAACCCGGTAGAATTGGCATCGATCGCGGAGAACTCGATCATTATGGTATGCATAAAAGGTTTCGAAGTCCACAATTGTCCCAGGATTCAACCTCCGTACCAGTTTAAATCATCCTGGAAGTTTGTTGTAAGATGCATCCCATTTGCCATGAAGTTTGACAATGTCATTTTGTTTTGCCAACCAAGCTTTTTTATAGGAGACAGTGTACCCATACTGCGATTGTATAGCTGAAATCAACACTGCAACAACTATATGAGAGCTTGCTTTTACCATGGGCATGATGGCTTGGCATATCACTTCAGAGTCCAAGTTGGGATGATCTTGGTTGACCCCTCCAACATAATATGTGTGAGGACCGTTGTATACTGTTAGTTCCCATATGTTGTTTTTCATCTTCCTTTTCGATACGCGAACCATCCAATTGCATCCGTTTTCGCGTCGGGCACAGTATCATACATATTTTTTGGTCGTAGATCGGTTGACTCTGGACTGAACAAAATTACAGATATTGTAATTTTTTTATAGCCATCACCGCTTCTTCTTTGCTTGAGAACTCCATGCCTAAAGATAACTCACCATTATTTATTGATGAGTAATATCCATAGTCACCGAGATGAGGCATATCCGCAAATTCTGGCCCGTACATTGCACCATAATCAGCTTCATACATGTGTACAGGAGGGTCAGTTTGTGCCACATTTCCTGGAACTTCATCATCATCGGAGTTGAATTGCGGTGATTCTGGGTGAATGAATAGTCCAGTCTCAACACCATCCGCACCAGGCTCACGAAGCGGTTCTTCTGGTGGAGATGATAGTTCCTTCATGCTCTCCACATTTAGGTCGAAGAACCTACTACTTGTACGCCTTCCCCTTGAATTGGATGGTATATCGACATTGAGATCGAAAAAGCTCACAGTCGAATGCCTCCCCCTGGAGCTTGAAGCCATTGTGTCAAATGGAAACTGCACAGATGGTTGCGTCGATGGCATCTCCATATGGTCAAAGAAATTTGCAGATGAATGCCTTCCCCTTGAACTGGACGCAGTGTTGCCATACTGATTGTTCGTGGACCCACCTCAGTACATATCGTAAGGAGTTGCGGATGAATGTCTCCCCATTATGACATTAAAATCATTACACATTACTGTAGTCGTGCTGTCAACTTGATCAACTTGTTCAGCCAGCCCATAGTGGGAGCTTAAAGATTGACCCCGAACAATACGCACTTAAACAAAATGTGCATATATTTCAATAGCGGCGTCTGAATAATTATTTTGAGCTTCAACCATCATTTGAACATCATCATTGTTCGAAAGT